CGCGGGCAGCGTGAGCTTCCCGCCCGCCCATCGCCCTTTTGCCTCGGGAGGAGCAAAGGGCGAGGGGGACAGGCCCTTGGGGAGAGGGCTGGGAAACTCCCCTCGCGGGGTTTTGGGGTGGTTCGAGTGAAGTGTTTCAGTCAGAGCTGCTTGTTCAGTTTCCTTTTGAATCAGAAAAGAGCCCGCAGCGTGTGTGTGTTTTCCTGGGGCACCACAAAAACGTCCCACTTACGCTTAGTCAGGGACTCTGGTAAAAATCCTTCATGCTAAATGGTTGTTTGAATAGATTATCAAACGCTTTTCTGAGTCAACCTAGTAATCCAAGAGTTACAATAAAAACCAGTGAGTACAGATCAAGGGTATGGAGAGACCTGTTAAGGTAGAGGTTTCCCCTTTAACAAGTTGTATGCATTTAGGGGGGGCTTCAAAGCTAAGCATGTATAAGGTACATGTGCAGATAACAGCTGCATCTCCTCTAAACCACAGGCCATCGTTGCAGGAAGCTGTGGCACGTAGGATGTTCTTGTATATGCATGTTCTCTCCTGCACTAGAAGGGTCAGGTTGTTGCTTTGCAGACTCCTTTACAGTCTTGCACATCCAGCACTGGAATTGAGCTGTCAGAGTTGGGCATGGGGTGTTAGCAGAATCACACAAGAGTTTTGCATAGAGATTTGTTGTCAATCTAGATCGATATGTGCAAAGGGAAATGCAAGTTTGAGAAACAAGTGCATGCCAGAAAGTTACTACTTGACTCACATGCTTTTTGCAGTCCTCACCTAGTTTCCTTCTATTAATTGCTCCATGTTCTTTACAGCTCGACTCTGGATTTTATAACTGTATCTGACTTTCGCTGTAGTTAGGACTTGTTTTCTCAATGTGTTCCTTTCTTCTATATGCCTTGTTTATGAGATGCCAGTTGACTAGGACCCAAAGACCTAGAAGGTCCTGGCAAGCTTCACGGGAAAAAAAGCATGTTATGATAACAGGCTCTGGAGCTGGCTAGAGATAGTAGAACAATTCCTTGCTCCAGGTGATTTGAGAGATGACGGTATCAGAGATGCTGAACCTTCTTTTAATCGCACTCTCAGCAGGGTACTGCTGGAGCGTTGGCTGCTCACTCTCCCTCACTGTGGCTGTAGCATGTTGCATGTTCTATAATCAGCTTTGGTAGGAGAGCACTTGCGGTTGGGTGCTGTGATGGCATTCTTGCAAAATTCAGTATCTCTAAGCAGCTATTGCTAGTCTTTCACCAGAGTTCAGGGTGCTAAAGGGAGCCAGTCTTTCCCCCCGGGAGTTAAAAGTTCAAGCTTCAGCCAAATATCAGTTAAATCTCTCTGAATTGAGTGCCTACTTAGAAGAAAACTTGATTGGGTTTTATTTTTTTATTTGTTTTATGTAGAAGATTTGTAAGCTCTCAGATGTTTAAAGTCTTTATGGCAGTCCTTTAACAAAGTCAGGGGAGAAACCTATATGGCCCATAAAAAATCAAATTTGATGGGATGTGATTTTAAACTCTTCATAAAATATATTAAGCTCCATTGTGACAGCAAGCAAGTTTGCACTTTTTAGCAAATTTAACAGAAACATAGGAGTGCAGTCTAATCCTTAAAAAAAATTTTTTTTTTTAAATGACCCCAAAGCAGATCTAACTGTCAAATAGATTACAGATACTAATCTGCCCTGACAGACTCTTCACATTTAAAACATACAAAAGTGAGGTAACACAAATAAAAAGAAGGATTTGGGGTCCATATATGTGTGTTGGGAATATAAATGTAGGATGGGTGCAAAGCACCAATAATGTAATTTTTAATAGGAATCATGTATTATAAAGAGATGGGTGTGGCACTTCTTTTTCTGCCGCCTTCTCCATGAGGATTACAGCTTATTTTTTGTGTGTGCTGGAATAACTCATCAAGGCTGACGGGAAAGGCTTAGAATGCAGAATTTAATGACATCACATGCTTAGAAATGCAACATATGAAATAGAAGGCAAAGTACATTTTAAATACCTCAGTATTAGGAGGAAAAATTAAAATAGGTGGAACTCGATAGAGCTAAGGATATTAGTCTGAAGACCAATGTACATCAGATAAGACCTCTGAATTTTTTTGTTTTAGATTAAAAGGGAAGCATTAGTAGAGTGGCCTGTTCTTCATCACTGAAAGCAAGAGGCTTGTTTTGGGACTGTGCTCATGAATTTTATGAGTGTGTTGACACTTTTGTCGATCTTAAGTGTCGGGGTGTGTACATGCTGGTTTTATTACCCTGCGATAGAAGCCCTTTTCTGGCTCATCTCAGACCAACAACGGAAGAAGACACGGCGTACTGAATAGAGTTGCCCTGGGTCTTCAATCTAACCCATGAGACACCGTTTGTAGTGTTCTGCATTATGTATTACTACTAAAGTGTTTTCAATTAAACTGACATCTTAAATGCTAGCTTTGCCTGGCAGATAATGAAATTCTTGTTTCTTTTCCAAGGAAGCTGACATGAAAGAAGCTGACCATGAAAGGTCACAGAGATTTGTACTGCCTGTCTCCACAATTACTAACAAGTAAGCGCTATATGATACCATAGGATGGAGGTGGACTTGGTTTCCATTAATGACAGTTGTCACACAGGTGAGGAACACTTGAGTGATTCCAGATAAACCTCAGAAAGGGTGGGCTGCAAAGCCAGCCTGCAACTGGAGGTGGAGGAAGATTACTCACCACCTTCTAGTCCTGGGTACATCCTGCCAGACCTTCAGTCTGACCAGAAACCCACATAGAACTGCTGTGCAAAGAGGAGGAGACTTTGAAGCTTACTACCAGAAGCATAATGCAACCAACCCACCAACTTTGACCTGCAGTATGAAGGTGAACGTTTAGAATGCTTTTCCTCCGAACAGTCTGAGGAACCTCCAGAAGGAAAAAGCAGCGTTCTTATTGATGCCTTTGAGGAGGAGGAGGAGGAGGACGACCTGGAGCCCACCTCTGGAGATGTTTTGATCATTTCCTCCGTGATCCCTATGAGGAAGACCATTGTTTGCTGGCATTAGGCTATGCCTTGGCAGCTGCAGGAGGAAATGCTGCCATTGTATCAGGTTGAAGTCAAAATAGATGTGCGGTTGTTGGATATGATCAGGACTAGCTGGACTCATCTGGGCATCTACGCTTGTAAGACTGACATGTTAAATTAGAGCTCTTGCGCGCCTGTGGTCTGTAAGTTATGGTGTTGCTGTCTAGATGATCACCACCCTCTGGTGCTGGTTTTGCAGAAGTGTCGCTGTTAGGCTGCACAGCCCACTTGGCCAGAACGACTCATCCACCTCTTCTCTCCATGCATCCTCTCATGTTTTAATGCGTTAGCTGTAATAAACCATGATTTGGATTTTTTTTAAAAATGGGCATTTGTCATCCGCACCCCACGCGAGCATGCTTGGCTGTGGAGATATTGGTGCCGTGTGTGATTCTATCTTGCTTGAGTTTTCCTTATGAGGACTGATGAACAAGGGGAGGGTTGTGTGCTTGTTCTTCTGTAAGGGAGGTGGAAGGGGCACGTGATTCCGTGCGTCTTGGGTCTAGGTGGAAGAAAGCCTTTTCCCTGCCCAGCTACTGCATTGCAGTAAGAAACGTCCCAAGAATTTTACATTCAGAAAAATGGTAATAAAAATAATAAAAATATTCTGGGGCATTTTTTCCTAGTTTGTGAGAGTTGGAATGATGGTTCTTTCTCTGCAAGGTTCGCCATACTGAGCAGCATGTGGGTTGCCCATGGACTCAAGGACCACCATTCAAGGAATGTTGCTAACTTATTTTTTTAACTGTCTAATCTGAAGAAACTGAACTGCCACTTACTGCGCTCTCAGAAGTAGCTCGCTTTTCTGTGTGAAAGGAGTGGGTATGTTTCTTTTCCTCACCCTCAGCTCCCAGCAGAGTAGTTTCTGGTTTCGTGTTTATTTTTAGAGAGATCTGCGAGATCACAAAAAAGCAGGATATTTTTAGAGAGATCTGTGAGATCGCAGAAAGCCGAACATTGAGCGTTTTTTCATGATGCATTTGCATATTTTGCTAGTAGTGTACACTCTTGTTCATTTTCAATGTCTATTCTGTATTTGCTATTAATTGTAGAAGCCCATTTCCAAAAGTGAGAGTTCTGGTTAGCCGGCCAGTGTGCGACGTAACTGCAGCTTTAAAAGCAGGAGCAGTGTCTGCGAGATTTCACGGTGATGTTGGAGAGTAGTTTCGGCTGCAGAACTGGTCAGTATGGTAATGGGGGGACAAATGCAGAGCACTGAGGGGTCTGGGTCGGGGACCACGGGTTGTAGTGGAACAGAAGCTGTTGGGAGCTTCCCAGCGGTGCTGCTGGGGCACTGGACTTGGGATGACTCCTGAACAGCTACGTTAATGATGGGAATGTAAAAGTGGACATGTGGGAATGAAATGTGCTGACAGGGAATATGAACATGAGGGAGTGCTGCAGAGCTGTGGAAGAACAAGAAGTCTTCCAGAAACGGTGGTAGAGGGATGGTGAAAATTTCTGTTCCAAACTGGTGGGTTATCAGCTGTAAGGGATGGCGGAAAGGAGCCAGAGAAGGCTGATGGACTGGGATCGTACTGTGGCTTTGAAAAAGGCAAACGGGATCCTAGAATGTGTTGGGCAAAGGACTTCCACTAGGAATAAGGAAATAGTGCCACTCTGACAGGCCCTGGTGAGACTTTGCTGAAGATACCCTGTGCAGTTTTGGGCACTCGGGGTGAAGAAATGCTCCCGTGAGTTGGAAGTGAGGCACAGAAGTCGGGGACGTGGACAGAGCCTTCCTCACAAGAGCGGAGCCTGTTTCTTCCCGCAGAGCAAAGCTTGAAAGTGAAATCCAGTCGCTGCCAAACTTCTGCGGGAAAATGCGCAGTTATTGCCACTGGGAGGACAATGGAAAAGACGACCGTGAATTGCCGCGGGCTGGAGCTGGGGAGAAGGCTCCGGTCCCCCGGAGCGCGGGGGGCTGGGGAGAGCCCTGGGGCAGGAGCGGTGGGAAGGGCACCTGGCCCACCTGGGGGCTTCTCCGCCCCTCCCG